CCAAGAGTTGGCGGTGGGTGGTGATGACTAGCTGCCTTCCCTCTAGTCTTACACTGCTAAATTAGGGACGGCTAGCGCAGATAGCCCTCGTGTAGCTTTGCGCGAAATTCAAAACAAACAAACCCTACTTAATTTTACCACGACCCCTCCGGTCCTTGTCCAAAAAGGTTTAGAGACCCCAAAGAACAATCACCTTTACTGGAAAGAGATTCCAAGTTCTCTAATTTTGTACCTGTTATAAATCTCTGGATCCGTTTCAGAGTGAGAAAGCATCACGTTATATACTAGTGTCAAACTTTCCAAGAATGATTAGTTCTACACAAATGACTAGTCATTCCTATTAGGAAATGGGAAATGCTGTAAAGTCATGATATCACCTGACATAAAATTCTAGAAAATTGCTGTCAACTTTCAAGTGCAAATTTACAGGTATTTTCTCCGTGAAAAGTCGCTATACCCGACGAATGGCTGGGAACAAAACAGCAAGAGTAAATGGAACTTGAGGACTTTTTTGAAAACAGTATATTCAATAAAATAAACGAAAACGTAATAAACCAAAAAAAAATTGTGTTTATTCTGACTGTGAGATGTTTTATGCTGAAACTCGTGGCCCTGTGGTTTATCTGTATAAATGTGTCTTCAAAAATAATGGTGACATTTCTCCCAAATAACACCTTTGTGAAGACTTATTTGATGTGGCACTTTCATAGGACAACTGGCCAATGACACGATAGAAAAAAGTTTATCTTGCAAGCACTTAGGCTGTGTAGAAAGCTTTAGAAACTATGAGTTGATGTCCACTAAAATGTAAAGAGACCTGCTATCTGAATAAATTATACATTTTTAAAGTTTGATCAAAAGTATTGATAGAGCGATCCTTGTGTTTTAGGTTTCTCATACGTGATTCAGTCTGATTACGTATGTAAGTGAATTTATATTTTTCAAGCCTAACATAATTAAATGGTCTTCATCATCAACGGCAGAATAAACATAAAAATCAAGAAGTTGATCTATCAAATATGAAGTTATTTCTGTATCTAAGACTGGAGCAGTATGGTCTGTTCTCAACATCAACTTCAAAATGTTCAGGATAAAACCAGGTGCCTTAAGGACAAAACAAACTAATATTGATCAAATAAAGAGCCGTAGTGATATTTTAAACCCATTGATAAAACAAAGACAACAGAATTGATTAGACGATCAAAGGATAACATCGTTCAATCTAACTATAGACCTACTTCATCCTCATCACTACCAGAGTTTACACTATCTGAAAGAAGTCGTTTATTGTATCATCTAGAGAGGTTGATTATGATATAATAAAACAGTTTTGTAGCTTTACCACGTTGTAACAATACATGTCGCCACATCCAGTTATGCTCTATCTAATAGTCATATATCTTGTCAATAACCCTGCAGCATAGTTTCTATTGCAAAAAGCTTTGTCGTAAGGCTTGCATGTGAAAAACACTAATGTTTCCTGCATGCTTTTCTTAGGTATTTAGTGTACAAGTATGATCGTTTTCCAATGCCCATTTCAACAATCTGATCACATAAATGTTGTTGCATCTAGCGACTTTACCATTGTTTTTGCATGGAATAACATAAATACCCATTTTATTCTCCAGCTGCTTGAGGAACACAATAGTTGAAATGATATGTCATGGAAGAAACTTGTATAAACGTGACTTATGCCACGTTTTTTTAGATGGACCTCCTTGATTTTGTTGTGTAATGGTATAACGTACCCAACCCTCTATTACATATAATACAGATTAATGCTCTTTTCTTTGGTAACACTAGACTGGAAAAATATCTTTGTATGATTTGTCTCTTAGACGCTGAGGATTTCTAATTTTCCCCGATATCTACTTTTTTCTAATTTAACTGTTGGTATTGTTGTAAGTTATATTTTCAATGTTTTAATTAGAGGGTACATGACATTAAGTATCCTAAGATATCTAGAACGTTCAGAAATAGAGTGATCGAGAAAATTTGCGAAGCATCTAGAAACAAAGCTAGGTTATAAATGCGAGATCAGTGTAGTATTTGGATTAATGCTAGTTATCGCATATATTCAATTACTCGATCTATTAGCCGTGAAATCGTAAAAGTAAGTTTATTTTTGTACGTTAGTAGTAATACCATTAGCGAGGTATTTTAGTTTGAACGTCATTTATAAAGTTACTTAGGCCTACAAGTTACAACAGTGTACAAGTGAAAGCAACTTTTAGAAACGTTAAGGAATATATAAATAAATGTGCCAGGTGGTTAGGGTGCTTGACTCGCAATCTGCGGGTCGCGGGTTCGAATCCACTTCAC